CTCCTAATAAGGTGGATAGCTTCTGTGGTAGATCGCCCCGGCATGAACCCGAACTGGTTGTCTGAAATAGACACCGTCCTTCGCACTCTCTTTTCTACCACTCTCTCCCAAACTTTCATGGTATGACTTAGTAATTTGATGCCCCTATAGTTGTTACAGCTTTGGACATCACCTTTGTTCTTATACAACGGGACCATTGTACTCCACCTCCACTCTTCAGGCATCCTATTAGTCTTGAATATAACACTAAACAATGCAGTAAGCCATTCCAAGCCTGCTTTACCCACACATCTCCACAGTTCAACCGAAATTTCGTCTGGCTCGGTAGCTCTGCCCCTTCTCATCTTACGCATTGCCTCCATGACTTCATCAATCTCAATGTCATATTTTGAATTTGAACAGCAACAATAATAATATACTTTATACAATTCTACAAGTGGGATCAAGAAAAAATAATCTTTTCGTAGACCTTATGCCTACCTTGTGAAGGTAGAAAGATTATTTTCAATAGAACCTCAAAATCATATAAAGAGAAAAATTCATGTAAAGAGAAGCAATAATCACAACTAGAAAAAATAATAACGAAAAAAAAAATAGATAACCGAAATTAAAGAAACAATTATTATCATCAGAAATCTAAGAATATGAAATACAAGATCACACTATTACAATAGAAAAATAATATAGGTAGGAAAACGAATAACGCTACTCAATTAATGGTTAAAGATTTCATCCATCCGACCAATATATTTTGGAGATATCAAACACTTTTTTGGTAGACATAAAATTGGTTTCGTGGCCGTTTGGACATAAGAATTGTAAAATTCCGAAAAAGTGATTTTTTTAAGTGAATAGTATTTGAAAATTAAAGTTGTGTTTGGAAATAAATATAATTTTGGGTTGTTTTTAAATTTTTATGAGTGATCTGAGTGGAAATTTTGAAAAATAACTTTTTGAATTTCTTCAAAATTCATCTTCAAGTGAAAATTATAAATTTTATGACAAAACACTGATTTTAATTTTTTTTTTAAAAAAGGCAAAAAAATTCTTATGTCCAAATGGGCTCTAAAAGCTGTTCAAATAATAAAAAAGGAAAAAATATCAAAGGAGTAAAAGGGTCATAACAATATTTGGAAACGGTTCAATTTTAGTGTCATAATTTCAACGTAGGCTTGACCTTTGGACGTGTAAAAACAAAAACAAATAGTCAGACCCAGCAACCCAAAAATCAACGATAAGGACAAAAGAAACCCATAAAGACAAAATATGCCCTCGATTTCCCTCTACGTTGACCCTACTCCTTTCTTTAAATGCACACTCTACTATCCCTATCCCTAATTATTCCAAAATTTAAAAATAAAGTGTTTCGTATTCACGCAGAGCCGGAGAAAAGATCACAATTAAGGTGTTTGATATATATAGCCTATCCTAATATTAATATTAGTAATTGCTTTTAGGGATCCATCCTCCGACTTATGTCACTTGAACCCAATAGATTTTATTCAAATAGTGTAAATGTGTTCGAAAAATTTACTAAATATTTATAAATGTTTGAATGTGAATATAGTTATTGTAAAAAATTTATTCGAGGTCGTTGCAGAAACCCAAATACATTAAATTTTAGATCCGCCTTTAACTGTATTCTACGACTTGAATCTATAACTTATAGGTCAAACGAAATATTTTACAAAAATTTCATAAACAAACTTTACCGTTCTTTCGAGGCTTCGTTCAGGATCTCTCACACACTCTCCTTATAGAAATAAAAAAAATTACACCAGCAGTAGCACACACACGTGGTGGCAAGTGGGTTTAATTAAATTTGATTCATCAAAAAATAATATTGTGTATATACATAAATTACGATTAAAGCTGCATAAGTTTTGGATATAAATATTTTATTTGAACCCAGTACACGTGTCGTCTTCTCTATTTCATTCTTTTTGTTTTCCAATAACTTCAATATCCCGCAAAAAACATTACAAAATAGATTACTCCATTTTCTCTGTCTAGAAATATTGTTTCTTCTCTCTCTAAAACTCATTTTCTTTCACAACAAACTCAAACAAAATTTTCTTTTGCCTCTCTGTGTAACTCTGCTTTTATAGAGAAGAGATATATACATATAACAGTGGTTACTGTTGGGGAGGGGGGGTATGAAATGAATAGAACGTGAAATGGGATGCGGTTTTTCGTGTTTTACCAACCCGGCGGTGGTGAACCGGACTGAACCGGAGGTAATATTCACGGGCAGCGAACCGCTCGACGAAACCCTAGGTCATTCCTTCTGCTACGTTAGGTCATCCGCCCGGTTCGCTCTCTCTCCGACAAACTCGGACCGGTTTGTTTCACCTTCTCAGTCACTCCGGTTCGATAATGAACCGGCTCCTTTAAGGACCGAAACCGGATTCAGAGCGATTTCAGGTGCGTCTGTTAGTGCAAATACTTCTACTCCCCGAACTGTCCTCCAACTTGATAATATTTACGACGATGGTACTGGTAGTGTTGTGAATGGTTTTGAAAGTACGTCTTCCTTTAGTGCTTTGCCTCTTCAACCGGTTCCTCGAACCGGTTTAAGCAACGAACCGGCTGGTCCAATGGAAAGAGAGAGGGCTTTCTTCATGTCCGGTCCGATCGAGCGAGGAGCTCTATCCGGTCCACTAGATTCCGCCGTTCCATTCTCAGCTCCGTTGGGTGGTGATGGCATTTATGTAAAAAAGAGAAAGTTGAAGGGCATTAATGGAATTAAAAAAGCCTTTAGACGGCCGTGGGTGGTGCCAGTGAGAAACTACTTCACAGGTAAAAAGGAAATTAACTGTACACGTGATTATAATGGATGGCATTTGCGTAATAATGTGAATGTTGAATGGGCATTAGGAAAAGCAGGGGAGGATCGTGTACATGTGGTTGTATGTGAAGAACATGGATGGCTGTTTGTTGGGATTTATGATGGGTTTAATGGACCTGATGCACCTGAATTCTTGATGAGTAATCTGTACAAAGCAATGAACAAAGAATTAGAGGGTTTGTTTTGGGATAGTGAAGATACTAGTATTAGTAATAATAACCAAGAAAGCAAAAAAAATGCAAATATAGAAAATGAAGTGATCATTGAGGACTCAAATGAAGCTAATTCAAATCAAGTGCATAAGGAGATGAGTAGGGGGGATAGGGGAGTAGAAGAAGCTGAAAATGAGGTTAATTTGGCTCAGATGGATAAAAGGTGTGAAAAGAAGGTGATATTTCAATCAGATAATGCAAATATAAAAAATGAAGTGATTGGTGAGGACTCGAATAAGCCACATTTTAATCGAGGACCTAAGGCCACAAGTAGGGGGGCTATGGGAGTAGAAGGAGGTGAAAATGAGGTTAACTTGGAGCAGCTAGATAAAGCCCGTAAAGGGTCGGAAAATGAAGTGATTGGTGAGGACTCGAACAAGCCAGGTTCGAATCGAGCACTTGATGCCACAAGTAGGGGAAATAGGGGAGTAGAAGAAGGTGAAAGTGAGGTTAATTTGGGACAGATGGATAGAGGGTCTGAAAAGAGAGTGACATTTCAATCAGGGGAGATAGAGGTTAGGAGGAGGAGATTGTGGGAATTTTTAGCAGAAGATGAGACAGAGGATGGTCTTGATCTTTCTGGTTCGGAGAGATTTGCATTTTCGGTAGATGATGCATTAAGTGTAAATAGTGCAGGTTCAGCGGTTAATAGGAGGTCGTTGCTGTTGTCGAAGTTGAAACATGGTTTGTCAATTAATAAGAACAAAGAGAGTAACAGGTTATTCCCATGGAGATTCGGATTGCAAGCTAAAAAGAAGGTTGAAGTAGGGGAGAAGAGAGTGGAGGAAAGGATTGATAGAAGTGAAAGGAAGCGTAAGGGGGGTCCGGTTGATCATGAGTTGGTTTTGAGAGCAATGTCAAGAGCTCTCGAAGTCACTGAGCTCGCATACTTGGATATGACAGATAAAGTTCTTGATCGGTACCCTGAGCTTGCATTAATGGGTTCTTGTTTGTTGGTTGCTTTGATGAGAGATGAAGATGTGTATGTAATGAATGTGGGAGATAGTCGTGCTATTGTGGCTCAGTACGAGTCTGAGGAGGTTAGTTCTAGTTCAGAACCAATAGTTCCAGGCAATTGCGAGTTGGCTGTTGAGAGCATTGCTGAAGAATCTGTAGTTGCCGGTGATGAGGAAAATAAGGCGACGAATGAGATACCTATTCACGCTACGAAGCTAACTGCCTTGCAATTGTCAACTGATCACAGCACTAGCATTGAAGAAGTAAGGTTCCTCGGTTTCTTTGTTAGTCAATAGGTTGTTTCTGTTGCTTCCTTCCATGTTTTAAGTTTAACTGATTTATGAGTTATGATATTTTAAGTAATGGAGTACATAATTATTTTACTCTGTAAGAATCACAAAACTTCAGAATGATGAATTCATGTAAATTAAAAGCTGTTTCCTTTATATGGTGCTCCAAAATATTATGCCCCTTGTGCTCATCACTGGATTTACTGATCTAAGATCATTGAATGTAGTAGGTTATGAAATTAAATGGGATATAATTTCTAAATAAAAGTCTCTGAAGCAAAGAGGTCTCAAAGTCAGTTTCTTGCTTTAGTTACATGCAGAGCAGTATCATATATGCGCCTGTCAAACTGGTTTTTCTGTAGGTCTGGTGTTTTGAATCTTTTGGTCACAGTGTATTGAACCATTATATTGTTGGGTTGGCAGCATTTAGCTGGTATAGGCAGGTTCTTAGAAACAGTTCAGCATTTAGCTATAGTTTGACCCTCTCAAATGGTTCCTTTTCCCATAATCACTTATTCCTTTCCATGTCATAAGCTTGGTCTTCTTCATTATAGTAGGTTCACTCTTTACTGCTGTGCTCACTTTAGATGAGATGCTGCTCCTTTAGCTCAAATCTCTTTCTTTGCCTCTCTCTCTCTCTTTCTCTCTCTCTCTCAAAGATTTTAACAAATGTGAGTGTTCCAAATTTTCATGAACTTGTGCTTAATCTCGATGAGTGGATCAGGAAAGCATTCAGATCCTTTCCGATATTGATTGCCTTCTAATCTTAAAACTTTCTTAAAATAGAGTGCAATACTGTTCCAAACTTGTGGTTCATAAGTCGTAGGGATATTTTAGAAGGTATAATTTTGCCACTCTTTAGTGTAATTGTGACAATGTCACCAAACATCAAGTTGATACAATGTGCAGCACAAGGAGTCCAATAAATATTTGGGAAAACTCCTTTCAACATGTCACCCACTTTTTTATTCTCACTTGCGTTATCAGTAACAACTTGAACCACATTTTCCGGTCCAACTTTCAATATTGTCTTCTCAAACAAGTTTGAACATTTTATTGGAATTGGTTGAGGAGTCACTAGCATCATAAGATTCAAGAAACACACTACTTCTCGGAGAATTCACCAAAACATTAATGATCATTTTTCCATTTTTTGCAGTCCATTTGTCCATCATAATGGAACAACCATAAATTTTCCATTGCGCCTTATGCTCCTCGACAATCTTGTCTGTCTTCTCCATCTCCTTTTTAGACAAGGAACTCTTACTTCGTGATAGGTAGGGGACTTCATTCCTGGGCCATATTGGCCTACGACCTCAATGAATTCACCAAAACTATCGGTGTAATTCACACAATTAAAAGGGAGCCCCGCATCATACATCCACCTTGCAAAAGCATCTACAACACGCTTCCTTAAACTCTTCCTACAAGAATCTAAGTCAATAGCTTCGCCCTTTCTCTTTTCATTTGGTTTTTGTGAGAAAAAAAGATTAAGAGGACCTTTCACATTGCTACCGGCAGTGGATGATCCACTTCCACTTGTTGAATTCTTTCTTTGAGATTTAGAGGGAGGTGGCCTCATTATATCATTGACTTCAACGCCATCCTCATCCATTTGACTATCTTCATCAAGAAGATTAATCATAGATGCTCCATGGCTCATTGGATTTTTTAACTCATTTTTTTCTCAACATACTCTCATTTCTTTCTTAATAGTAGCCGGAACACTTGGACATCTCTAAAACCACCGATTAGATGTCTCTTGTGACGATGTATTCCACCGTTATAAATTTTTTGACAAAAGATACATTGCACTCTTGAGTTATTATTGCCAACTGCAACTCCATACACCCAAGCTGGATCTCTTTTTTGGCTTGATGCTATTGAGTAATCAAATTAAATTTACTACAATCAACAACCAAAAAAAAAAATAACAATTAATTTACTGATAAATTGCAGAAAACCAAGCATAAAGCAGCATAAAACAAAGCACTTTTAATAACAGAAGAAGAAGAAGAAGTCGTTTAGGGCAAAAAATGAGCGCTTAAAAAGTGAAAAAAATTGAAAGAAGAAGAAGAAGAAACTTACCGAGATCTGGAGAAGAAGTTGTTGGAGCAGCAGTGGTCGTCGCTGGAGTTCGCTGGAGTAGAATTCCTTGAAGAGCGTATGTTTTGGTAACAGATGGTACCGGCTCGCTTCTCGCTTAAGCGAGAAAAGCGCACACTTTTTGAATGTGAGTCGCCTTTTTAACAGAAAAGCGCTAACCCTGCGCCTCGCGTCGCTTCATCGCTTAAAGCGAGAAGCGAGCACTTATAATAACACTGCTCCTGTGTTTGTTGGGCCTTTTTTTTATCAAGACATTAGGTGAGCACAAATAATATATATTGGCTCCAATTTGAGGCCTGCACATTCAAGTTGATCTTTTCGTCTTTTATCTCAATTGCCCCCATACAAATTGCAATTCACTGATTTGGCTAGTTGTTGAATGAGCTAGTAGCTGTAACAGCACCTGTATTGCTGACACATATAATTCTAATCACTCTTTACTCTGACATAACCATTTCTGATGTCCAGATACGGTTAATGATTCTCGTGTTGTCTGTTTCGGTTCTACCAAGTTACAGCTTCTCATTGTTGTTAGTAAAGTGTGTTTGACCAATGAATGCGATTGGCACTTTCTGTCTCATTTGTCATTGTGAATTCTGTAATTTTTAATTGTTTGTTGCTCGTCACATTTTCACGTTTGTATCTTAATCAGTCAGGTTCTTAAACAGTTTGTTTCTTGTAACAATTTCCAGGAAGTTATTAGAATCAAGAATGAACACCCAGATGACTGCAATTGCATTGTTAATGATAGAGTGAAAGGTCGTTTAAAGGTCACTCGCGCTTTTGGGGCGGGCTTCCTGAAAAAGGTTTGTCATTTGCTTTTCTTTCTCCATTCTGGTTTCCAATCCCAAAAATCTCAAGCAATTGCATCAAATTGCACATCTGCACATTCGGAGCCTCGTTTTGCTTTAGATATTGTGGTATCAGAGGACCCTCTTTGACTATTTCTATTTCTGGTTTGGCTGAAATTCTGTGGATCTCTAGGAGATGGAATGCCTTGCACTCTTAGTCCTAGCATTCCATCTAGTACAGAAATATATGTTTCTGCCTGTAGTTACTCTGGACAAGTAAAGTTCGCCACACGTTTAATTATTTAAATGAACATCCTACGTTGAATTGTTGCTGTAGACTTATATCCTGTTTTGACATGCTTGTTGCCAATCCGCTTAATAGTTTGAGATGTGCCTGTGCAGCCTAAATTGAATGATGCATTGCTAGAAATGTTTCGGAACGAGTACATTGGGGATGCTCCTTATTTATCTTGTAAACCTTCACTGCGCCATCATAGACTCTGTCCTAAGGATCAGTTTTTGGTGCTATCCTCTGATGGCTTGTACCAATATTTGAGCAATCAAGAGGTGGTTTGTCATGTGGAGAATTTCATGGAGAAATTCCCTGATGGGGATCCTGCTCAGCATCTTATTGAGGAGCTCTTATTCCGTGCAGCCAAGAAAGCTGGTATGTATTCTGTCTAGTCTTTCTGTGCAGAGTTAAGGGTAAAAAGTTACAGTTTTGGTGATTTTTTACGTTTTCAAGTGGTCGCACGCCCTTAATTTTTGCTAGGAAATTACATTTAAATTTTCAGATTTTCTCAATCATCTTCCTTTTATTCTCCAATTGAGACCAATTCTGTATTAGGTGGGAACATTAAATTGGACCCGCTCCGATTCTGTGACACATTAACGGACAATTGCTTATTCTGGATTTATGACCAGATAATCTGCCATGGCTTAGTTTGTTTAAGTCTATTCTCTTTAACTGATGGAACAAAGATACGTCTTGAGGTTTGAGAAACATCTTTGTCCTTTACTCATTTAAGCTGTTGCACTAGCTCTGATATTTGATAACTATAAAAAGCCTATTTGCCCCTGAATTATATTCCAATTGAATTGTACTAGTCCTCAGTCCTCACCTTATGACTTGTGTCTGTGGAAAGTGGAAGTCTATTCTTTTGGGGAAGAAACGCTAGTAAAAGACTAACTACCCTTATGCAGGTGTCCATGTAAAGCCTTGGTAAATGTCTCCTTATCTAGTAGTTTGAGTTTTTGCACCTATGTACTGCTCTGACACCTAGTTCGTGGGAACACTTGGTGGATCGAGTGTATAAATGAAATGTAGAAATTGATAGATCAGATAACAGAAAGTCCTTTTAGACAACTCCAGATGAAGTCATTAGTTTCATATCACTTTCTGAATGGAAGGACTACTAAATACTTTGGCTCCATCTCCACAGTAATCATTAGTTTCTCATTTAGTAGCATGTTTTTTCTCTACCATTTCGTTTTATGTATTTTCGCGGTTTAGGTAAACTATGATTTCTAAATCTGATTTCATGGTTATCTTATGATGGCCTCTGTAGATAACTTGTTTTGTGTTGTGGCATGCAAATATTACATGTTTTCCAATTGAGTTGTTAATGTTTTCTTGCAGGAATGGATTTTCACGAATTGCTGGACATCCCGCAGGGAGATCGTAGGAAGTACCACGATGATGTTACTGTTATGGTGGTATCTCTTGAGGGAAGAATTTGGAAGTCGTCTGGGAAGTACGTCTGAGTTTTTACAATTTCCATGTATAGTGGTGCGCTGCAATTTTGATCTCTTGAGCTGGGATGTTGGGAACAATGGTGGGAGCTGGATAGTCGATCAAGCTCGCTGCTCTGTTTATACCCTTGACAACAGCCAAAACTGGTGCTAGAAAGACGACAAGGCTCGTGAAAGTAGAAATTTAGTAGCTGGGATTGCTCAGAACTGCTCCTAGAAAAGAAAGAAACAGGATCTCTTCATTTAGTTTCTTTTTAGATTTGCACAGTAGAATAGATCTTTCCATTCTTTCAAGTTCTTTCTTTCTTTTTGCCCCCATCTCATCTACTCTTTAGAGCCAAAATCAAGTAATTGTGACCAGGTGGGTGGCTTAGTTACTGAGTTTTAGCCGATATATCTGTATTTTTGAGGTGGATATCCACCAATGCGGTTTACAGAGGAGAGAATTCTTGTTGAACCCTTTGTGTAAAAAGTTCTATCATAGAATGGGGCAAAGGGAAAGGTACAACACACTCTTATGCTGATTGCAGTATCAATATTTCCTTCATCCCCCCCCCCCCCCAACACACACACCTAGGGGTGGCAAACAGTCGGGTCGGATATGAACAGGTCAAAAATGGATAAGTTATCCGACCTGACCCATATTTAATACGGATAAAAAATGGGTTAACCGGCGGATAATATGGATATCCATATTATCCATGGGTTCTTGAATAAGATTATTTTTGGAAGAATTTCCAGTCTTCCAAACTTATGGAACCCTCAATTTGAGACTTTACAAATGTAAAAGTTAAACTCATTAGCTATTCATTTTCTAAGTTAATAATATGATTCTTATCCATATTTGACTCGTTTTTAAAATTTTTATTATTCAAATCATTTTTAATAAATAATATGGATGAATAATTATTTTCTTTTAATTATTTCGCCACCCCTATACACCTAATACCATCAAAGTCAGTTTATACTTCTTAAACCATTTTACTGTCTTGTAAAAAAGATTACACTTTGGCACAGTTGGCGATAGTACAATATGCGCTTATCCCATGACCAGCTATTGCAGTAAAAATAGCATGAGCTAGCTAGTTTTCGGACTGGTCATTCAAAAATAGCCAATATTTGTAAAGTCATTAAAAAATAGCCAATATTTTGCTACAATACGGAAAGTTCTAGCATAATATACTGGAGATCGGTGTACCTGTATATGAACTTCCAGCATATTATGCTGGAACTCCAACACGCGAAAAGTTCCAATATAATATACTGGAGATTGGAACATCGGTGCTCCAATCTCCAGTATATTATGCTGGACCAGTATATTATATTGGAGTATTTTTCCGGATTTTGAACAGTGTTTTCGTTCAGATTTATCTTTATATAAAAAGTGGCTAAATTTCGATTACTTTAGAAATTATGACTATTTTTGAATAACCACTTGTAAATATGGCTATTTTTGAATTTCTCCCGCTATTGCAGGATAGTCGGTGTATACCTTAGCAGCATTTTCCCTTGCATTTATGCAAAAGAGATTGTTTTCACATCTCGAACTTGTCTCACAGAGAGAATGGTAACAGAAAAGAAGCTTGAGACCCATGCGAAATCGCCAAGAATGGATGACTAGTGAGACAGAAAATGTTTCAAGTAGCATAGCCAATGGATTCAAATAAACATAACCATATTATTTCTATAATACCAAAAAGAATTACATTTAATATAAAGAGGATTACACTGAAAAGCTGCTTATTTTCGTTTATTAGAAAACGGACTTTCATTTGTTATCATTAGTGCACAACGGAACTAAGAAAGAAAAATGCGCCACATTTCAACAACGTCTCACCATTAAGGGCGTGAGGGATCTAGCAATTCTCTAATATGAGTTTCAACTTTCTTCCGAATTGAAGCATTTGGGAAACGGTCTACTACTTCAGCAGCAAACGAAAAGATCAAAGCTTTTCTGGCAGTTTCAACGTCAACACCCCGTGCTCTGAAGTAAAACAGTTGGTCCTCCTCGAGGTCACTGATTGCAGCACCATGAGAGCATTTGACATCATCAGCGATGATTTGGAGATTAGGTTTGACATTCACAGTTGCTCGAGGCTCCAAAAGGAGGCTCCGTGTAAGTTGTCCTGCATCTGTCTGCTGCGCGTATCTGCAACATCATTTATAATAACAGACACATTTAAATCTCACGCATTAAACAATAATCAAAACCATTGACACAAATTGACAGTCGTGTGCGGTATCTTGAATAAAGACTTGTGTAATCCAATGCAGTTTGTGTAAATTAAAGGAGGAGAGAAGGTGAAGTCTTTCCTAAGTTTGCATTGCATCTCTTATTGATAAGATAAAACTCAAAAGCTGAGACACCAGCTCTTCTAATAGATTGGAAAAGTCGTTATAATCAACTGAAATACTCTGGTTTTGACTATTGGACACAACCACACAGGTACTTAACATAGATTCATCAACTATTTTAAGGGGAAAAAAAGGGAAGCCGGTGCACTAAGCTCCCGCTATGCGCGGGGTCCGGAGAAGGGCCGGACCACAAGGGTTTATTGTACGCAGTCTTAACCTGCATTTCTACAAGAGGTTGTTTCCACGGCTTGAACCCATGACCTCTGGTCACATGGCAGCTACTTTACCGGTTACGCCAAGACTCTCCCCTTCTCATCAACTGTTTTAAGAAAATCCATACAAAGTACCCATGTCCGTTTGACATGGATAGAACAGAGGATTTGAGGGACACAACTAGCAAATGACACCTGATCCATTGACCACCAAAAAGCAAGAAATGTCGAGGCTGCTAACTTTAACTGATGTCGTGGAATATGCCACTTCCATTCAGCCTTATACTATCTTAATATGTTGGAATATCTTTCTAGATTGCAGAACATAATCCAAGAGTTGACTAAGATTATACCATAGTGAAATAGTAGTGAAAGTATTTTGAACAATGTAAAGTTGGGACCCTCCAAGAAAAGATATCATCATATACATTCTTAGGATATCTTTAGGATATCTTTCTTAGGATTCATAAATAATTTAAAAAGAAAACCACGTAAGAGAACGTGAACGGAAACAGTACCATGAGATATAGAATACAGAAACAAAACAATATCAGTATGTAAATGTTCAACACTGGTGATTTGTAGAACGAGTCACTCAAATAAACACCAAAGGTGAGACAGAATATAATACCTATTGACTTGAACGTTTCCATCAAAAACAGCCTGTCCAGACGAATGGGCCACAATGCACTTGTGGATCTGCTGAGAGACACCTCGAGGGTGATCTAGGACTAATCTACTGTGTAGATCTTGCGTTTGATCAGAGATACACATATGAAATGTAGATAACTCAGTAACTGTGTCTGGACCAACTTGCTGGATATGAATATTGTGCCTACTCAACTTTCCACCAGTGCTTACTTCTATATGCTCGTATGTGCTAGTTGATTCCTGAAAATAATCAACTCAAGTATGAAGCAAACTTAAATCTCCCCATAAGACAAATAAATAAAAATCTGGAGTTGTTACAGTAGTTGGGAATTGTTTAAAGCTAACAATAAAACTTTAAGAAGAAACGGTAAAGTTGTCTCTATGACCTATAGGTCACGGATTCGAGCCATGGAAACAGCCACTAATGCTTGCATTAAGGTAGGTTGTCTACGTCATACCCCTTGGGGTGCGGCCCTTCCCCGGACCCCGCGTGAACACGAGATGCCTCGTGCACCGGGCTTCCCTTTTGCCTTAATAAGACTTTCAGAAGGAAAAATACACACTTCTGCATTAGCTCTGCTCATGGAGGGAAACGTAACATTAAATGACTCACAGTTACCATCAAACTAAAGAGATAAAAGTCTTCATTTTCAACAGACATTACTAGGCTTTTCGTTTGATATTTAAGCAACAAGTTGCGGAAGAGTGTTACACATCAGAACCAACAAGTTGTACCCAAGCCTGGACTAGTATTCACATCGCTAGCATAAATTGTTGGAATGACCGGACAGAGGAGAAAAGTAAAAATTGTTTTGTTTTTAGTTTAATTCAAAGAGAGAACAGAAGGAGTCTGTTCTTTTCAAAATCCTAATATCTCTTCTGGCATAAGGAAAATATCACGGAAATAATAACTTTCCTTTCTCTCTATTTCAGCTCGCCTAGAGCTGCTGTAGCGTAAAAATCTAAAACAAAAGAAGATAAGCTGTTATCACATACTCTAGTTTAGAACCCACCAGTCGTTAAAGTACCACCACCCTACCATCCAATAACTTACCCCTAAATTTTATTACTTTTAGTTCTATATGTGTGGTTCGGGTTTTCATTTTAAAAAATCTCCTATTATACACAAAAAAAGGTTTAGTCATACTTAGCCATATATACCCTTTCTCATGACTCCTTTAACAATAATGACTACTACATGACAGATTCACAACCTACTGTAGAAGTTTCATATGGTCGGGGGCTAATACTATAACAAAGAAAGCTCTTGTGTCTTGGGAGAAGATGTGCTTACCATGTGCTGCTGGAGGTTTTCAACTCACCAATATTAAAATCTGGCATAAAGCTGCTATCGTTAAAGTGTGTTGGGACCCAGAGCACAAGGTGGATCAAATTGATACATGCCTTTTACATTAAAGGGCAATAACTGGACTCTATCGCTATACCACAACAAGCTAGTTGGATGTTGGGGAAAATATTGGAGAACAACTGAGACAGATACAAGGCGCTCCAAAAGGAAACCAAAGCTTGATTAGACATATCTATCTACAGTTGTTGGGAGATCATGCCAAGGTACCGTGGAAACATCTGATGATTAACACCAAAGGGAAGACTCTACATGCTCGGTTGCTAAGAATGATATTTGCAGAACATGTTCATGCCATATGGAATGAAAGAAATACCAGAATTTTTTAAAGAATAGAAAGAGATGTGTAAACCATAGCAAAAGAAATTGCTTGCGTACGCAGCGTGAGGGTATCAGGAGTAAAGAGCTTATTGCAGCAGCGCTACTTCTAGAAAAAAAAAATTCACTAGAGAGATGCTAGGAGAAAGAGAGTAACATGTAATCTAGGAGAGACATTCGTGAATATTTCGCAGCCTAGATAGCAATTTTGTTTGTGTTTGAGATCATTATTTGAGAACAGGTGGTTGGGATGTAATCAAGCTGAGAATTGTAAATATTTACTTGGTGATTAACAAAGCCTTTAATTACCCAACAATAATAATAATGACTTAACTTAAAACTTATTCTTCATATCAAATTGATTATAAGTATCTTTGTGCCTCGAGGAGATAATAGACGATTGCCCAATCTCAAAAATGATTTTCAGGTTCAGCGAAGGTAGGCCAGAGCATCCTGTCCAAAATATTAAGGCAATATATGAACCTAAAACCTTTATAAATCCCGTTTCATGTCCTAACATACTAGATATGAGACATAATATAACTCAACAAGCACCAATAGCCAATCACGTTATATGAGAATTATCTTGAATTATGCATAATATGCCAATAGAC